ACATGTTTAATTGAACCAACTGATTGGATTGGTGGACAATTAACAGCTGAATTGTTAAGTGCACCTGATTTTGCTTATCACGTGATAAAAGATAAGGATACCAATTTTACTCTAGATGTTGGTTCTATTGATCGACAGTTAAATAATCAAAATCTACTTTTTTCACATATGCTTAATATTCTTGGAGATACTGGTCATTGTTGGGTATCACCAAAATGTTCAATTCCTGAGTTATTTCATTCTCAAGTCATATTACCATTACTTAATAATACTCGTATATTCTATAACACTGTCATTAAACATATTACTAAAGATTCAAGTGGTCGTCATATAATTCAAATAGATGCGATACAACGTTCTGTACGACAGACATCTTCTGAACGTTGTCGATTTTTATCTGAAGAACTACCTGATTGGTATTCACAAGAAGATAGTTTATGGTTTACAAAAACTGAACTATCATTTAGAAATATTTCATTTGTTATAGAAGGTAGTTCATGGGGTGAAGTGTTAGTATTATCTAATGCAAGTTATATACAAGGTTTAATGGAACAATTCGATGGTGATACATCTGGCATTGGGAATTCAACATGTGGGCAATCATTTACATTTGATTTTCTTGAACAACTACGAGAGACACCTGTCGATGAATTACCTAACCCATTACCTGAACCAAGTGGAGGAGCAAATTATTCATTTGAATATCTCACATGGGAACGTGTATGGACATATAGAAGAGTAAACACATCTGCACCAGACTCAAACATAATTGCGGTTAATGATATAACGATACAGAATTGGTCAGAAGGTAATGATTATCGAAAAGAATACTTTTTTCTATCTCCATCTGATGCACATCGTCAACGCGATATTAACCAATGGCAAGGTGGAGTCAATTTAGATGCTATTCAAAATGCTGAAAGATTAGCTTATGGTTATCATTATTGGTATCGAAAAAACTCACCAACACAATGGACAAATCGAACAATTCTCATACGATCGATTTCAGCAGCAGGTACTTGTCATGGTCTAGCAAAAATGCCTTATTTACGAGAATCACGTCGATCAATTGGTTTTGACAATTTTCTCATGAACATTACAACTATTAGTGGTCATGCACGTAATTTACATGGATATATTTTTGATGATCGTTTATGTATAGGTGCTTATAATGTTGATATTCATTCTATGATTCAATGTACTTATCCATCATATATGCATGAATCCTATCCAATACTTCCTTATTATATACCTTTACGTGCAATGACTAATCGAGATATTGATAATTTAATTGTAATTGGTAAAACAATGGCACAAACATTTTTAGTTAATTCAGCAACTCGTTTACATCCAGTGGAGTTTTCCATAGGACAAGCAGCAGGTATAGTTGGAATATATGCAGTTCAAAATAATTTAGAAAGTGTAGCCAAAATGCTCGAAGAAGAACATTTAAGACGTGTACAATCAATGGTAAAGGAATTTACTCCAACATCATGGACAATCAATGGAACACGATATCCAGATGATTAACTAGCTTGGTTTAATAATATTTTTTCAATTTCTTTTTTTTTTCTTCCTACAATTCTATTTTGTTTTTTATTTCTTTCTAGATAATGTTTTTTGAGGTTTCGACGGAAAACGTAACTTTACATTGGACACGAGATGATAAAACGAATAGTATAATTTTTTCTCAAGATAATTCATCGGCAAAATATATAATCACTGTTGTAACTAATAATCTTATGCGTATTCGAGTTTGGCCTAAAGGAAAACCAGTTACTACACGTACATGGGCTATCGTTGATCAAGACACAAATGATGTTCCATATGAAGGTCGTCTCCGTCATGAAATTCCAATAATTAAGAATAATAATGAGTCCTGTTTTTTCAAAATAATTGATGATAAAGATCAAATAACAGTATCTACTGAAAAGCTTGTATGTAAAATTCATCTAAATAAACCATTTGCAATAACATGGATTATAAATAATGAAATTATTTTACAAGATAATCCTATTTGTAGTTATCAATATCATCATTCAACACAACAATTTCGTCATACATTATCACGACCGTGCATTGATAATGAGTATTATTATTATGGTTTAGGTGAAAAAAGTGGTGCAATTGATAAAAAATTTCGTCGATATCGTATGAGAAATATGGATGCAATGGGTTATAATGCTGAATATAGTGATCCACTTTATAAACATATTCCATTTTATATAACATTACGACATGAACGTGCTTTTGGTTTATTTTATGATACAACATATGAGTGTACATTTGATATGGGTTGTGAAATAAATAATTATTTTGGTAATATGTTGTATTTTGAAACAAAAGATCCTGATCTTGATTATTATTTTATTAATGGTCCTTTAATTGAACATGTTATTGAACAATATACAAAATTAACTGGTCGTTGTCCATTAGTACCAAAATGGACGCTTGGTTATTTAGGTTCAGCAATGAAGTATACTGATTCATTAAATGCACAAAATATGCTTAAAAAATTTATTGATAATTGTTCAAAATATAATATTGAATGTACTGGTTTTCATTTATCATCTGGTTATTCAATGAGTAGTGACGATGGCAAACGTTATGTATTTGTTTGGGATAAAAAACGTGTTCCATCACCATTAACAGTAACAAAAAATTTTCATCAAGCTGGAATGAAAGTATTAGCTAATATAAAACCAGCTATGCTTACAACACATCCATATTTTAATGAATGTCGTTCATTATTTATAAAAAATGAACATAAAAATCAACCTGATCTTTCACCATTTTGGGGTGGTCTTGGTGCACATTTAGATTTTACTAATCCAAATACTGTTACATGGTGGAAAAATCAAATAATAACAAAATTATTAGCTAATGGAATTGATTGTACATGGAATGATAATAATGAATTTAATATAGAAAATTCTCATGCAAGATGCTTTAATGGTCAAAACATTGAAAGTATGAGACCTATACAAACAATATTAATGGTTAAAGCATCATATGATGCACAAATAACAACAAATTCTAAATATCGTCCATGGTTATTAACACGTGCTGCATATTCAGGTACACAACGATATGGTGGTACATGGACAGGAGATAATTATTGTTCATGGCATACATTAAAATATAATATACCGATGGGTTTAAATTTATCTTTAAGTGGTTTTCCATTAATAGGTCATGATATAGGTGGATTTGCTGGTGAAAAACCTTCACTTGAATTATTTGTTCGATGGATACAAAATGGAATATTTCATCCAAGATTTTGTGTACATTCATGGCGTCCAAATGAAAATGATGATGATGATAATAGTGAAAATTCATTATGGATGTATCCAGATGCTTTACCACTTATATATGATGCGTTAAATTTTCGAAAACGTTTACAACCATATTTATATTCACTTTCACATGAAGCTATGATAACTGGTCATCCAATAGTTCGTCCTACTGTTTATCATTTTCAATCTGATATTAAATGTCGTGATCAATCATTTGAATTTCTTCTTGGTCCGTGGTTACTTGTTGCATCGGTTTATGAAGAAAATGCAATTAATCGAACATTATATTTACCATCAGGTACAAAATGGTACAATTTTTGGACAGATGAAATTTATGATGGTGGACAAATGATAACTGTACCAGCAACATTAGATATATTTCCATTATTTGTACGTGAAGGTGCATTATTACCATTTGAAATTGATGAACATTTAGAAATACGTGTTTATCCATTTGAAGAAAATGGGACAAGTGAATTTAATATATATGATGATGATGGTGAAACAATGGATTGTTATAATGAATCGGAAGGAAAATTTGATTTACAAACAATTCGTCTTTCATGTAATCAACGTCAAATACATATTGAAACATTTGTTATTGGAGGAAAACCGAAATCTATACAATGGCGTTTTCCTACAAATGAAATGCGTTTTTATCAAATAAATGAAGGATAATTTAATATATTTGTGATATAATGTGATTCGTTTTTATTTTCTTGTTTTAGACTTCAAAATTTATTTTAGCTTTCTTTTTATTCAATAAAATAAATATTGATATTTTTATGAAATTTAACAGTTTACATAGTTCTTTTGATCCTTAGCATGATATTTCTTCTCTGAAAAATCCGAAATAATAGATATAGGGTAAATCGAAAATTTTTAATAACAATCATTCACACATCACATGAAAAAAACATAGAGTTCTGAATAAAAGTAACTACCGTCGTATAAAATACTACTATTCTTTATGATAATGAACTTATATTTTGACTGTATGCGTGCAACAATAAACCTTGATCGCAAGTATCAATCTACCATTCGTTGTTTCATATGTACTGAAGTTATGATTCAGACATCAAATTATTTCAATCATGATAGCACAAATATTTTCATCCAATTCTTCATTCGAAAGACAATTGTCGTAGCTATCTCTAGTCTCAATTTCGTTAGAAATCACTGTGAAATAGCTGAGACATTGTCTTTTGATGAAAATCTTTGTTAAAGAACAAATACTATTTTTTTTTTATTAGGGTAAGTAGTGTATTCTACGATGACTTTTACCAATTAATTGAAAAATTTTATTAAAAGATTCCTAAAATACGAAAAGTTTCTTCTGAAAGTTTTAAAGCCGCAGAATTGAATGAAATCCAGCTAGCGCTACGATATAGGTTCACTATCTCAGAACGTGCTAATTACTAAGATCTTGACTATGTGTCTCGCCTTCGGTGATAATAAAGTAGACATACAGAACTGCCTTTAGCAATAAAAAAAAAAAGAAATAGCAGTTGTTGGTGGAATAGCATAATGACGAATGAAATCATTGGCAATGCATATTTCTGTTGCATATATTTTCCTCAAGGCAAAAAAGATATGTAAATCGTAACTCAAGTACATGTCAACCGAAGGAAGGTGCATTGATGCTTGTGATTAGGATTTACTATGGCATGCATGTACCCAAAATATCACAGTGCAGTATCATAAATAATAGTAGCACTTCAACGAGGTGGCTACTTTTGACAAGGACTGTAGATCGATATGTTGTTGAAAGGTCGAAAGGGAAAAAGTGTCGAAACTAAAGAGTATTGAAAGAAAAAAATGATATGTATAGTAAACTATGACTTTGAACGTCTATAATTTATTAATACTTTTTTCATTATTTTATTTGATTGTGTCTGTAACTACGTAGTTGTAACAATGATGAATAATACCTAGTAGAGATTGACTGAAATAGTCAGAAAAATAACTACTATACAATTAACAGTCTACTATTGAGATCACAGTTGCTTTATCTTCACTGCATATAGGCTAGCAATCATCGCTAATTATTTTATATATTAAATCAAAGAAAGCAAGATCGTTATTCTTATCAGATGATTTTTTTAAACTGAGTAAAAAATAAATTACAAAATATTAGAAGTGTACACTTTATGATTATTCAGCTAAAGTTCATACACATTTGAATGATCAATTGCTTAAAATGATTGATGATCATAATTACTCATGCAGATAAAGACAAACATTAACGTACATAAATTTCATGAAAAAGTTTTTTTCTTGATTTGTGTGTATAATCTCTGTCAGAATATTAGTATTATCGCATACAATCAAGAATATATCTTGATAGTCAAAATTTACGATCATTTTCCTTTCTATGGCCAACGGATAAATCTACATAGAGTAAGTTCAATCATTTCCGTCCGATATAAATATCTGATTTGTCAAATGATTTCTACATAAGATACAATCAGTCTATGTACCTTTTATCTTTTTCATTGTCCGTGAATAAAATTTGTTCTATATAGAGTATATATAGATAATTATCAAGGAATAGTTTTACTTGTCTTTTCATAGATTAACAGTTGTTGATGATATATGATAATACGGGATAGCTCAAAAGTCATTTTTACTGAACCAAAACAAACTTAATACCATTACTATAATTCAATTAGTTGAGTTGATTTTTTTTATGCATGATTTATATTCATAAATCTTCTTTGCAATGTGATCATTGGTTTCAATAAAGAATTCCTGTTCATTTTTGTCCTTACAGTTCTTTCACTTGATCGTAAACCATATTTCATATGTTTATTCTTTCTTATTGTTTATATGTAAATATATACAAAAAACTAGATGTAAACAATCAGATATTACTGGAAAACAGTAATATCGTTTTCGATAGCTCGTTTGAGGTTAATGCGTTTTATTAAGGTCAACAAAAACGTTAGATAACAATAATTGTTATTTGACATTCATCTTATAAATATCGATTATGAATATCATTTCATCAATGCCATTCGAAAGAAAAACAAATTCCTTGTATCAAACTATAACAAAAATATTCAAATTCTTTTTTCTTCTCAATAAATTCGAAATTTAGCTATTCCGTATTCTTAATATTGTATATAGTAATTCTACATATAATAAAGATTTTATTTCGAATTCTATAGTAATTAATACAGAGATTGTGTCTATCAACAAGTTTATGAGCATAAAAATAATACTTCTTTAAATTTCTATATATTGTTAAATATTGATTTGTATACAATTTTTGTTCCATATCAAATGGCAAAATATCTGGATTCAATTATTTTTCTTGTTATTCTCTTTTGCTAATACTATTTTCTTAGTTCTATGCATGATAATTAACTTACTCATTTACGAACTGAGTATCATAGTTTCTTTTGTTTTATGTATTGATTTTCCTTTATTTTCTATAATTTCTTTTGTGATTTGAGTTGATGAAAAGTTTAAATAGAATAGATAAGTATCTTTTTATCATTTCTCTCGACGAGTCACGCAAAAAATAAATAACAATCAAATTAATTGCATTTCTATGTGAGGGAAATATTGTTTGATTCTCATTCCAGTTTGTTCTCTAGAGACTATCTCAGAATAATACATGTTATATATATTTCAATTGACAGAAGATCGATGATCTAACCAGTTCCATTTTGTCGAGTTTTGAACATCAAAAAATAATTATTTCAATATTCATAGCTCTTTGTTCAAATTTGAAAAATAAATAAAATAGAAAATAGATTCATCTTGGATAAATTTACTTGAGAAATATTTTATCTTTATAGAGAAAAAAAAAGTCAAGTTATTCTTGAAAAATTAGTTTGACTTATTAATTCATCAATATTACAGATTCTTCTTCAGATTAAAAAAATCAATTTCCAACAAAGATAACATGTAACTCAAATGAAAATATAAATCAAAGTTTTATTGAAATATAGATCAAATCAACGGAGATTGCACGATATCTCGATCTTGATGTAAACTATCTAATGAGAAGTAATATTTTAGGTCTCTGCATTTTCAATACATTGACAAACGTTATGAAACCTTTGAAAAAAAAAAGAATCGTTAAGTCTTCTATTTCAATATCCATAATAACTGTTGTTTTTTTGGGATTCAACGATTTCATCCACTGAATTGTGAATGAGTTTTATTTTTGTCAAGCTTTACAATTTGCTTACTTTGTTCAAAAATACGAGATTTTCAATGGTAAAACTTTCGATTAATATAGTTTTAATAAATGAAATTGCTGTTGTGAAAGCGACTGTCAAAATGTCTTAAATGAATATGAAATAATAGAAATTCCTCCAATGTTTTATACATATGTTCTGTTATAGAAAGGCAATTTAAAAGGTCGGGAGGACGAACACTTATTTTTGGGAAGCAGAAAAACATAATATGTGACGTGGTAACCACAAACTCTGGAAATACTAATCTGATCTTTGAGGTGGTACCATTTCCTCAGTCATCATGCTAGATAAAACACTGAACTGCTCTTGTAACAGAATACTTCCTCATAAAAGAACATGCCCTCTTTCCTTCAATTAATTGATTTCTCGAAAGATTAAAACTTTAATCTGGATATATACATTTATAAATGCCTATTTTTCAGAGTTTCGAGCTGAAAATTTTAAAAGATTGTAGCCAACATTATTTCCCAATTTCTAAAATCCTAAAAATCACTTGTTTTATTTGTAATATCGCTTTGCTTTTTTGAAAAACTTTATAATTCGAAGTTACGAAAGTATATTGGCTGTCACAAATGGAACTAGTATCGGTTACTGGTAGAACAATCGCTACAGGTAGAGAATGGTCAGTACATATATATATATCTTATTAATTGTTTTGCTCTTATTATCTTATAGAGGATGTGTAATAAAACTTTACTGAAAAATAACTCTATCAAATATCATTTTCCGCAGATGGAATCAGTCAAGTGTCGGTGTGGATCTCAGACTGATCGGTAACTGATAACAAGATCGGTCTCGTCTATTTACATCAGTACCTGCTTCATCTTTGTTGACCACAATAGAAGATTCTCTTAAAACTTTGTACATTTCAACGTAATAGAAAATCTAGGATCTTCTATTTGGAGAATGGAATTTACATGTCATTAATTATTACATATCGAATAGACTTTTATTTTTGTGTAACAATGCTGTTAGCTCTTTTTTTTATCATCTTGAAAAAAAAATCAGTTTTACCTATTCTTTTGATTTATAACTATGTGATTACAACCTTCAAGATATGATTATCTTCCAAAAAAAATATATTTTAGTATTTGATATACATAAGCAAATACTAATGAATCACAGAATATCTTCTTTTTGATCAAATAATAATAATCATTGTTTTCACTTTGAAAAATGACCATGACTAAAACAAAATAAGCAAAAATGTCTTCGTTCTTTTTTGTTCTAATAAATTTTATTGATTAAATTAAATGAAATTTATTTATTTATTTATTTTAAGTAGAACAAACAAATGTATGTGTACAAAAAAAAAAGAGGAAGAAAGAGTAAATAAATCATTTATGCTTTTTTGTGAATCTATGTGTATTTTTATCCTCGCGAACCTAAGTGAAACACATATACAAAAACAAAAAACAAAATGATCAATTGCACAAAAAAAAACAAAAAACTTGTGTTATTCTTTTGTTTAGTAGTCTTAATTTTCTTCACTGTTATTTGATGTTAATTCGAATGAATATGTGATAAGTAAGAAGAAATAGAAATAAAGAAGATAAATCTATTGATTAATAGCAATTATTTTTCTTTTTATTCTTTTTTTTTATAAAATAATACATTTTTTGTCTTTTTTCCTTTTATTAGAATTTGTGAGTCGTCCACCATTTGTTGGTGGACCTGGTTCTCGTGGTACATTTTTAAATGGTCGTACAATACGCATTAATTCACAAAAAACCTTTGAAACAAAAACAAAAAATATTATTTTATTTTATTTTGAAATATTTCCTTTTCGTATACCTTATCAACGTTATGTTTTGTTTTTGCTGATGTTTCAATATAACGAATTGACCAGCTACGTGCTTTTTGTTCAGCTTCTTCAAGTGTTACTTTACGTCGTTCAGCTAAATCAATTTTATTTCCAACTAATATTGCCGGAATATTTGTTCCACCATTTTTAACACGTAAAATTTGTTCACTAAATAAGAAAAAGAAAACGATTTATGTTTTGTGTTTTATATGAAAGTTTAAATTATATACTAAAGTTCATTTAAATCGCCAAATGATTCAGCGTCAGTTACATCAAAAACAAGGAGAAAACCTTCACCACTACGAATATAAGTATCACGGATAGCTAAAAAAAAAAGCAATAAAATGAAAAGTTCATTTTTTTTTTATGCTCATGTCCTTGAAATATTTTTTAAACAAACCAGCATAATTTTCTTGACCAGCAGTATCTAATATATCAATTTGAACTTCTTCACCATCAAGCATAACTGCTTTTCGATATGAATCAGCTTTTGTTGGTTCATAATCAACAACGAACTAAAAGATTTTGAAAAATTAATACAAGAAAAATAAATCACGAATAGTTAACACTTACTTCATCATACATATATTGAAGTGTTAAAGCTGATTTTCCTACACCACCACTTCCAACCTGAATAAAAGTATATATATATATATTTTTTGTTTTAATGAAAAATTTATCTTTTTATTTTGTTCTTCTTATTACCATAATTAGCCGATAGACGGCTGTTGCTTTATTTGATGCCGCCATTATATGTAATAAAAATAATCTAAAATACAATTTGTTTTTTATATGATATATATTCATTTTGCATATGTTTATTATTCGACTATCTGTCAGAGAATTATTAATATCAGATTGGAAGGAGAAAAAATACTTTTCTGAGAGTTACTAATAGACATGTAAATGATGATTAATGAAAAAAAGAAATTTTATAGATAGAAGAAAAAAAAAAAAAAAAAGAGAAGACTCAAGAATACTAATGTTGTTATTTTACAAAATTTTTTTCTATGCGAAGAATGAAACAAGAAAAACAAATACGAAAAAATCTGAATTTCATTGGATGACCTTTACGTCTGTATGACGCATACGAGATGGTGCTAGTTCACAGAAATGATTAGTAACAAAGAAAATTTTGATTTTACTAAGAAAATAAGTTATTACAGAAAAAAAAGAAATTTAAGAATTTTTTAAACATTTACATAAATTAGATTTTTTTTTAATAGAGATTTTTCCATAACAAGAATGTAGTAAATGGCAACGAATAACTTAATAAAAAGACTTTGTTTACCATCGGGTACTGTACTTTTTTTTACTACAATGTTAGAGTTTTTGACATCTTAGGACTTATATTTTCACAAAGAAAGGTAATATCAAGTTGAATTTTATTATATTATAAAAAAAAAAAAAGTCAATATTTATTTAAGGATATTATTGACAGAAAACTTCAAAATACTTGACAATGTTATTTTTTCTTTTCAAATAGTATCACTTGTAAACTTGAAAGTGACACATCATCAATGATACTACAATATAGTCTAGAATAGAATTTTTTTTATATTGAAGTCTGAGAAAATATAAATAGAACTATCGTTCATATTATAAAACATAGGTTGCACTGTGGAGAGGCTAGGGTCAGTTAACCTCCTTGCTCTTTTATTTCGCGTATGCGAAAATTTTTAGTTGTTGTCGAAGAATTGTTTGCGAAATTTGAAAACGTAGTTTTTTCAGCCAAGTAGACTGCCTTCAACTGTCTACCAACAACTTTTCATCTCTGTTTGTTCTGATAACTATTAAGAGGCATGTCATAAAGTGAGATTTGATAAGGATGTTTTACTGATTTGAAGAAGGAAAATTGATTCTGTTTCGAGGTTTATTCTTACAATAATATGTACTTATAATTTTTCAAAAACAGAAAATTTTTTGATAGTATCGTTATGTAAGATATGATTGTGATCGAATCAAACTTCAGAGGCTTACTAAAGTTTACTTAATATTATATAGTTTTTATTAATAGAATACGATTTATATTTTCTTTCTATTAATAGGAACAATCTTTCTTGAGTCAAAAAAAACACATGAAAGATCTTTCAGATCAGAGCAAACCGAATGAAAACTCATCGTTTCTGAAATCTTACATTAAATTCTATTATAGAATTCTTCAAAGATCTTATCCGCATATAATTTTTCCATATTATCTTATAATGATACCTTACAGGGCAAAAAGATCTTTCAAGAATCCTATAATACGACTTACCAGGAGACATTTCTTAGTGATTCACTTCGTTTGTTCCACACATTTTGGCAATATGTAGGAGATCATAATAGTAGCATACTCTCCACAGATTTTCTACTCATGTATAGATTTAGTCGAAATGATCACCTTTTAGCAGAATTCTCCTGCAGAAGTTCAATTTTCGAAATAGTATTTTATCTAACGTGAAGGTTGAGAGAACGTGACGACCCCTCGAAGATCGGATTAGTTCGTCTGAAGTTTGTAGTTATTGTGCCAAATACTATGTTTCTATGCTTTCAAAAGTAGATGTTTGCTCTTCTAGTCTTTTAAATTGCCTTTTCGAGACAGAATGTCTGCATAAAACACTCTCTCGAATAAAATTATAGCTGGGAATTTCGACCTGAAGCTTTATATACATAAAGGTTTCTATTAGACTATTTCATTAATAAAACTCATCAATGTTTGATAAAGGATGTGTCATAAGTTCTGATCCCATCCGTATTTTTACTATAACTTTTTTTCTCTTTGATCTCTAAAGCTGATTGTTTTTCCAAAAGATGCGTCGTGAAATTCTCTACAAAATCATAATCAAACTTAATTCTGTAGAAAGGTAAGAAAAGAAATTAAATGAAGATTATCTAATACATAAAAAATACCCAACTATCGAAGTTAACGGGTGTCCCATAATCAATGATCAGTGTTTGTATTTCTTTTTTTTTATCATCTAGTACGTTTATTTTAAAAGCAAAGCATACCATAAGATGCAGCGTAAAACGCTCTACAAGTTGCATTAAAAACTTATTTGATATATGCACTCTTCGTTTTCAATATGGGTAAATATCTGTGCGATCAATTTTCGACGCTGCGAATAAGATGATTTATTTGTCGCACAGAATTTTACTTATTTTAAAAACAAAAGGTGCATCTATATATAATAAATTGTTCTTGGTAAATTGTAGAGCTTTTCACGCTGCATCTTATGGTATACTTTGCTTTTAAAATAAACGTACTACAAGATAAAAAGAGAGATACAAACACTGGCCATTGATTATGGGACACTCGTTAGCTTCGATAGTTGGGTATTTTTTATGTGTTGGATAATCTTCATTTAATTTCTTTTCTTACCTTTCTACAGAAATAAGTTTGATTATGATTTTGTAGAGAATTTCACGGCGCATCTTTTGGAAAAACAATCAGCTTTAAAGATCAAAAAGAAAAAAAAATTTATAGTAAAAATACGGATGGAATCAAAACTTATGACACACCCTTTATCCCATTGCCAAGATATAAATTTCTCAATAAATATCCTTATCGTACACAATACTTAAACAAAAGCGTAAATATATTGAAAAACCCATAGCTTAGTAATGCGATATCCAAAACTGATGAGAATTTGTACATGAAATAATTTTATAGAGACCATAATGTGCACAAAGTTTTAAGTTGAAATACCCAAATATAATTTTTTTCAAAACTTGGACGGCTGCAGGAGGAATCTACTGAGAAGTCGTTATATTGATCAAAGCTAAAGAGGAGCAGAAAACCTTTGAACGTTACATTACACTATCGATCTTCTGCATAATGACGAAGGGAGCGGATCTCTTAGGAATGTTTCTTCGTTAGCGTAAGATTTCCGAGACTACATTTTTTTTGTACCACTTTTCTGATGACTTATACTCGTAATGAAAGAAGTCAACAAGAAAAAACAAGTTAATATATCGTATGTTAGGTCTCTTTCTTAAATTTCAGTTCTTTTGGGTTTAATCATTGAATGTATACTTCTCTGTTATTTAGAATTTTCTTGTTTCTAATTCGATTTTGATCTTTTTTTCTTCTGTTGATCTCATTGTAGAAAAAAAAATGTCTGCAAATATTATTGGCGAAAAACTTGTAGCAACTGTTCCACAAGCATTAGGTGCTCGAGAATTTATGATAGAACGACTTATTCTGGTAAGTTTTAATTAAAATAGTTATTTTTTGTTTTTTATTTAATTTCTATAGCGAGATAATACACTTGAGTTATTGCGTCAAAATGGTGGAGAAGAAGAAGTTGAAAATGATTTACTTGCATTAACTGAATGTGAATGTGGAATGAATGTTTATGATCCAATTAAATGTAAATGTCGAGCTTGTGAAGGACATTTTCTTCTGGCACAATTTTATTATGATACAGAACAATATGATAAAGCATGGAGATGGTATTCAAAAATTCAAAATGTCGATCTACGAGGTAGATTTTTTGGTTTTTTTTTTGAAAATTTATTTGTTTTTTCATTGAATTTAATTGTTTTTTTTTCTTCTATCTATAGCTTTCTATCAACTTGCTGTAATGTGTTTTGAAGGATTAGCACCAAAAGATTGTACTTCGGTTTGATAAAATTTTATATATAACAATTGAAATTTTCTCTATCATATTTTTTTAAAGGAAAATGCTTATCAAATGATGCTTCAAATAACATTAAAAGAAAAAGATTCGCACAATTTTATAATACCTTATGCAGAATTCCATTTAGGAAAAGCTTTTTTTCAGGGTTATGGTGTACAACAATCCGATGAAAAAGCTGAAAGGTAATTAAAATACAGTAGTGGACAAAAGTTTCCTGTCATCTGTAATTCGGCTACTATACACGTTGGAGGTCTGAGACACGAATTTACATTAATAGTTTAAGTGGATCGTACTTATTTACTTTTTTAACTTCATAATTCTGAAAAAGATGAATTTTGTGGAGCGGTCCATTCTTCAGTAATTAATCGTTTGTTTTGGCTACTTACCATATTGATTTCATCGAAGTTTATCAACCCTTTCTACAGTTGTAATCATTTTTTCATGACCATTTCGGTGGAGAAAAAACTATCTACTAGTCTTTTGAGGCTATAAATCAGTAATAGTTAGTTCAGTAAATCGAGCTGAAACTTGTACATAAGTTTTGTTCATAGTTAAATTTTTATGAAAGAACCTACTGCTAAATGAAAATTCCAGCCGAATAATTATTGTGTTGATAGAAAGGACTCGAGGACAGCAATTCTTAATTAAATTACTTGATCTTTCGACTTTAGAAATGGAGCATAGACTGAGCTCTACTTGTGTGCTAAAGCGTCAAGAATTAGTTATGCACTTGATAACAAGCAACGAAAAATTTAATAAAGAATCTTTTTTTAAGGCTAAAAGCTTGAAGCAAAGATGAGCATCCTTCATCATAATTATTGTTTTATTTAAGCGATTGGGGCGACATCGCACTTCTGAACTAAATTCTTAGCTAGTACATATATGCTTACAAATTTTCAGACTTCGAGCATGCATAATATCCGAGATACTGGATAGTGAAAGACTTGTGTCTACTATTGTAAAACAAATATATCTATTTGTATAAAATTTGTAAACTTAGTTGGTGGCTATTAGCAGCTCTTGATGATATACATGAACCAGTAGTAGAAGCTCAAACAGCTTTAGCCTTTTTTTATTCACGAAAAAATTCAGATTTTTATAATTTAAACAAAGTATTGTATTGGCATA